CCCTGCGATGGCAGTTTACCCTCCTCTTTGTTGAAGTAACACCAGGCCTTGTTTGTTTATGTCATTATGTCTGTGGAACACCTGACTGATGGCTTTCTGAGTGGCTCTAAGCATCTGTCCCCAGCACCACAGTGAGCTGGGCCACTGAGCTGGGCCACTGAGCTGGGCCCTTACGCCGCCTACACACGGCGGCGTGCGTTGCCGCTTGGCGGTGGGCGTGTCTTGAGCTTGGGGAGTTAACGCGAGCAACGCGACCAACAACCAATCACATGAATCTCCCGTGTCTCTCTCCAAGGGCTGGAAAATGGAAGAAGTGTCAGAAAGTCGGGTTTGTCAGCTGGAAAAAGCGATGTCTATTATTTTAGGTACTAAACGAACGGGGGCTTGCAAAATTTTTAGCTGCACAGGACACAAGAGTTTGCGGAAACAAGACAGGAGTTGATAATTGGAAGGGGGGGTCTGTGTAAAGTTTGTGATGGGAAGGACGGGGGAGGGTGGGGGGGTTTCTGTTTGCAGCGGGGTAAAAAGGCTTTAAAAAGGCTCCCGTGTATGAATCTCACCATAGACATTCATGTCTAAAAAGCGATTTTTAATTAATGTCTATGGTGCTATTTTATGCAACATTCCATACTGTCTATGCCTGCTGTCCATTCAAACGAAGTACACTGGATATAAACTCCCCAAACAAGCGAAAACCTACCAGTTTCACCCACTGTCTCTGCCACCTCCCTCCATGCCTGGCTCCTCCGGTTTGTATCCCGGTAGGTGAACAGGGACTGAAAGCACCGGGTGATTCCCTACCCGCTACGATGATTTTCTCCTCCATTTTTTGGCATATGAGGAAATGAACTGCGGTCTGGCTCTTCCAGCATACACACGGTTTGATTGGCTAGCGCTTGTACTGGCAGATTTGCATACGCGGGATTTGATTGGCTGACGCCTCCGCCTCAGCTTCAAAAGTAGAACATTGCTCTACTTTTGCAGCGAGCACCGCGAGAAAAGCTACGCTTTGCTCCCACAATGCAGTTCGGCGAATCGTGACGTCACCCCATTCAAAGTGAATGGGCAGAAGCGTTGAAGCGTCAACGCACGCCGCCATGTGTAGGGGCCGTTATTGTCTGAAGGAGGCTCTGAGAGGAGCAAGGGGCCGGTGGAGGCCAGATCGAGGAGAGATTGACAGGAGGGGCTGGGAGCCCTGGTGGAGGTCACAGCCAGGTAAGAGGGCGGCTTTGTGTTCGTTCACACAACACTTGACTCAGGCACTGAGCAACAACTAGATAGTTCTTCATGCCTATTGTAAAAAACACATACAAAACACATTACTGCTTTGTGATGCATGGAATCATCCAAACAAAGGACAAAATGATTGAGAGACTTTCCATAATTGTATTAGAGAGCACAGTGCAGTGTTTTGGTTTCTGATATTTTTTTTAACTCATGGATCTGTCACTTTAATGGCTTTTTTTATTTATTTTTTCATTATCTCTTCTCAGGTATTACAAAAAATCAGCACCCAACAAAGCAGCCCTTTTTGTTTTTCATCTGAACTCCTATAATGGCCCGTTTCCACTGCAGCGCGGAGCCCGTCTTTGGTTGCGTTTCCATTTGGCCTAGTACCGGCTAGCGGGTCCTAATTCACAGTTTTTCTGGCCCCATAAAATCGTGGGTCTAGGGCCAGGAACAACGAGGCTGAGTCGGGCTGAGTATGCTAAACTAGAGAGAGAATCGCTGGCAAGGGGGCTACAACTACAACAAGATGAACATATTTGACCGTGATTTAATTGTAATACACGTTTCAAAATGATGCCGAAGTAACAACATACTGATACCGGTTAGTAAAAACCATGAATTAATGCTTTGACAAGTCTGCAGACAGACGGCGAAAAACCTTTTAAAATGCGTGTTTTCTGAATGGAGATCGGCCAAGCTAACGCAGTATATGCTCCGACCGTCCACACTCACAACAACGGCCTATACAGACATAAATAAAGCAGCGACTGTATTCGCCATGACACAGGCAGTCTGTGGTTTGTACTCGTTTAACTTTTGTCTAGTTTCTGAACAGATATGAGGAGCTGTGAGCTCTGAGTGCTAACAGCTAACGGCTGTGTTGTTTTTCTGGGGTTCTCATTGAAGATGACGTCACGGCTCCGCCTACACTGCGTTACTATAGATACTACCCCAGTTCCTAAACTGTAATGGAAATGCGCCATAAAGAGAGCCAGTCCTAACGAGGCCTAGCCATACAGAGCGAGGCCGAGCGAGGCCGTGTAGTGGAAATGCGCCATTAGACTGTGAAGATGCCGTGTTTGAATCCTGCTTGACTCAGGCCTTCAGTTATGTGGGGAAACTGTGAGTGGTGAGGCTAATCCTTCAAAGGTTTTCACATAGAACTTTTGAACAGGTTGTCCTCATCATGTCCCTGACACCCTGTAGCAGCAGCAAGTCTTCATAGCTCAGCTCAACGACCACCGCAAAATGATTCTTATCATTTGTCTTTTGTTAAAGGATAACTTGGGTCATGGTTATATAATAATAATACCAATAAACTGAAGCACTCCTTTGAGTTAAATCCCAGATCTAATGTACGTAAGAGGGTCTTGAGCATGTTTCTCTCAGTGATCCCAGTGTTATGGTAAATGTGTGTTCCCTTCTATCGTGTCTTAATATTTGTCCTTGTTTGATGGTGCAAATGGAGCTGCTGTGATGCAAGTTACATTTCAGATTTGATTTGACAATACATTATTATCATATTGTATCATATAAAGGAAACACAAACATTTGCTTTGTTTAGGGTTAATATTTAATTATCTCTTAGGGGGCTGCAGATTTTCTTTTCACGAAACTGTGTCTCAGGGCTTCTTAACATTTAAAAACCTATTAATGTGTCATACCCACTTAACGGGAAGAAACTCAGCTAAATGACGATACGAACCATTTTTACCGAAACAAAACACAAGTCTCACAAGAAGCGTCTAAATGAGCCATGAGCGGAAAAATGCTAACGCACTTAGCACAGAACTCACGGTAGAAATACACTGCAAAAACTAAGCCTCAAAAAACAAGTAAAATAAATAATAAAATGAGTAATATATTACTTAAAATAAGAAAAATTATCTACCAACAGAACAAGAAAACTTCACTTGCCAAGACCTTCTTAAAACAAGTAAATATATCTAGCCTAAAAAGATCTACAGATATCTTAAAACGAGTGTTTTTAAACCAAAAATAAGTACATTTGAATTGAAGCAAGGAATATTTTTAAGAATTATAATCTTATTATAAGGAAAATGTGCTTGAATTCAGCATATTCTACTGCTATTGTCCCAAAATTCAATTTTATGTTAGGCAACATATCTTAAAACCAGTGCAGCTTCACTTTAAACAGGTACATTTGTCTAGATACAAAGATAAGATTTAAGAATTATTTTCTTAATATGTAGAAAAATCTACTTAAATTCAGCATTTAGTGCTATTAAAGTATTCTTAAAATAAGGCTAAATACCAAGAAAAAGTAGAGACAAAACCTTCAAAAATCTTTAATCCTATCAAGATATAAACTTTGACTGCTTGCATAAAGAAAAATATGAGTCTCAAATGATTTCTTTTAATGTTTTTATTGTTTTCAAACTGTGTAGTAAAGGTCAGTCATCAGATATGTCTTCTATTATTATTTCACTGTAAAATGCAACGCAAGTGAAATTCTCATGACACTTTTGACTCAGCGAACAATTTTCAATAGGACTATAAGTATGAGGGGCCGCTAGGGTCATTATTCAGAAATACCGTTCACATACACATATGAAACCAACATAATTTACAAACATGTAAAAATCTCTCATATACACATATGAAACGCTCTCACACACGTATGAAATCCACAGTTATTTACATATACATGTCAAATGCACTCATATACACATGTGATACGCACTCACTCACACCTGAAACGCTCTCACACACGCATGAAACGCACTCACACACGCATGAAACGCACTCACACACGCATGAAACGCACTCACACACGCATGAAACACACTCACACACGAAATACTCTCCTACAGATATGAAACGCACTCATATACACATGAAGTGCAATTTCAGTATGTTGTGTGAGAGGGATTTCAGTTGAATCGGAATGCATCTCGGTTGAAAAGGAAGTCGTTTTAAAAAAAACAGCGAAGAAGCGCAAATTTCAAAAAGGCGAGATGCCTTCCGTTTCAACTGAAATCCCTCCCACACAACATATTGAAATCGCATTTCATGTGTATATGAGTGTGTTTTATATGTGTGTGTGAGAGCGTTTCAGGTGTGTGTCAGTGCGTTTCATGTGTGTGTGAGAGCGTTTCAGGTGTGAGTGCGTTTCACATGTGTATGTGAATAACTTTGGATTTCATGTGTATGCGAGCGTTTCATATGTGTAAATGAGAGATTTTTTACATATGTTTGTAAATTATTTTGGTTTCAGTTGTGTGTGTGAGAGCGTTTCACATGTGTATGTGAACGGTATTTCTGAATAATGTCCCTAGCGGCCCCTCATATATAAGTGCCCTAATCACTTATGAACTTTTTCCAGTCGGCCATAGCCTTTTTGTATGAAGTAGTCATGTCACGGTCGTGAATGGACAGAAGCGTTGCAATGCACTTAGGATAGGTGAAAGGTGTAATAACATGCCATGAGATACATCACGCTTTCATGAATGTCCTCTTTTGGGAAGATGAGCACGGGCATGGTTCCAATGGCCAGTATACAGTTGGTTTCGCAGATGATGACAACAGGGCTGGAGAGTGGTCGTGTCTGGAGAAAGGTGTTGGGGTCTTCTGCAGACTGACACAAAAACAGACAAAGAAATCATCACAAAAAGGGAAACAAATATGATCACAACATTTCACTCTTTGTATCGACATGAGAAAATTCTTATACATTTTCTTACCTCAAGGACATGGAGCACAGCCTCACTTGCATGCCTTAACTTCTTGGGTGGGGCCATAGGTGATAGGAACATCTCTGGTAAAGCCTTCATCATGGCAATTGAGTGCTTTACTGTTGAAAAAAAAAAGTGTCATTCCGTTTCCTGCAGTCAGTTAATAAACAGACATGGTCAGAGATAATAATCACCTTTGTCAAGCTGCGGAGGCCTCGTGAGCTTTTTGAAAACTCCATAAAACTGTGCCCTCTCACAAAAGGTCCCCCACCGGGTCTTAAGTTCCGTTAAGAAGTGGGAGTTGCCTTGATTGAGGACCCGCCGTAGTTCATCCATTAGCTAAGATAACGAGAGAGAAAATATATAGAAGAAATATTAAAATCTACATTCCAAGGGTTAGTAATTCGTCTCATAACTGAATTTCCAAAAAAAGATTCATACGTGTATAATGTGATTTAAATGGTCACTTAACAAAAATATGTCTGATGCACACACTATTTTTAAATACGTATTTTGGACCAATACTACTCACAAAATAATGTTGTGTGTATCAGAAGCACATTTGTGAAATGTGTTCTTTTTAAATAAGTGGAGGGTTTTTATATATCTATGCAGATTAAATATTTGTATTCAATAAGCATATTCATTGCTCATTCATTTATAAATAATGAGACAGATCTGATTTAATTGTCATACCATTTCTCATTTCAAATTTGGTCTAACGTTAACCGAATTAGGAAGCATAGTTGTACATAAAACGAAAACATTTGCTTACATGATCCAGTTCTCCAAAGCAAGGATAAGCTTTAAGAATCTTGGAAGGCCTGTCCTGCTCCTTTGTAACATCAGAGTCAATGAAGGCCCTTCTCGCTTGGATTTCGAGGTCCAGGAGCTGAGCAACATCCATCTTGTTTGGTCTGGCCTTGGTTTTATAGTCTCCAAATGGTTCTTCTTCTTCTGAAGTGCTCAGGCCCGGGAAGGAGATCACGCAAGTCCTCCTTAAAGAGGCTGGGCAGCATGTCTCTGCTTATATTAGCAGCTGAAAACAGATTTAACCACACAGTTAATAATAAGGTAAAAAGCAACTAATAACATATTTATCTAAATACATCAAATGAAAGAGTAATGTACATTTCTGGCTGGCTTCACAAGATTTTCTTTAACATTAAAACATGTTTTGCACTTAGTTATAATTGACATTTAAAAAATTGCTGTTACAGTAGGTAAAATGTAAACCACGATTTGTCGTTTGTGCAGTTATTAACAGCTTACAGTAGATATAAGCTAAGCTAACGCTAGATATGTAGCCAGCTAGCTAGCTTACTTTGCATGCTAACTTGTTGTCCAACCGATTCAAATAATGTAAAGCTTGCTGGAGAGGTGCAGCATAAAATACACAATTACATTACCTTTTAATACTGCAGTTATTAGAATATTAGGGCCAATTACAGGCCCGGCATATGTACTATCACTTTAGCTTGCTGAAGAATAATACATGCTGAAAAGAATGTTCTTAATGCAGTAGTTTGACTTGGCTGGTACTGTTATTTCTGTATACTGCATTTCATATATGGACATACTTAATTGATGTACTGGGTTTTAGACTGACAATAAAACAATGAATTTCATTTGGTCATTATCTGTTTTTAATATGTTAAGAGATGAAAAAGGATAGGATGCTTGCAATAAGATATTCTGACTTTGAAAAAGCAGTTTTCTACTTATCAGTCTAATACCTTTAGAATTATGGTATTTCTCAATTTAAACATTAATTTACTCAGAATCAGTATTAAAATCTCAAGAACAAGTAATAAAATCTCATTAAGATAATTAAGTAAAAAAACACTTAATGTAAGTGAAATTCACTACCGCAAAAACTTCTTTGTAAGAGGAAATATCTTGGCAGACAAAATATAAGCATATTTTGCCTTGATTTAAGATATTTCATCTTAGTAAGATTTCAGTTTTTGCAGTGTACTTATACTTATCGGATCTGCACAAGATATTAACTAGCAAGCTGAGATTCCACAGATTCTAGGGGTATAAGTATCATCACTGAGCGATCAAAACTCGCGGCAGGGGAAGCGAACCCAGACATCACACAACGTAGCTTTACGGAGCAAAATTGGGAAATATGTCTTACCTTTTGCTGTTTCTGATCAAAAGTTGTGTTCAATGGCATTAAAGGTTAATCAAATGTGTCTGTGTCACTTTGAAATGATTACTGATAATCCATCTTCATATTTATGTCAATAACGGAGATTTCATATTAGCTGCTACGAGAGTGTATGACAGCTTCCGGTTTTGGGCAATCTGGCTACGCATCACTCATTCACCAATGGGTCATGTTTAGATGGATTTTAAGAACTTCCCCTCGATTCTATTGGCTCTAACGGTTAAAAAGAGATGTCAATCAATAATATCATTCTAAGGCCCCGGCTCCACGGGAACGCATACGGCCAAACGCATCGGAGTAACGCAAACGCAAACGCAAAAAAGCTTCCGCCCACACGCAATATACACCGGATTGTGTCAAGCTCCACGAGACGGCTCCGTTTACATCCAACCGCTGGAAAAGCTGCAGTACATATGCCGAGCCTGTACGTGGCGCTGTAACTTCCTCCACAAAAGCAGCAACTTCCTCCACAAAAGCAGCGAAGAAGAATGGTTGTCATGGCTGCACTTCTGTTTATTCTCTGTGGTGGGGGCCGAGGAAACTGGGTAGAGTTTTTCGCCGGTCAACGTGTGTTAAAGTTTAAATCTTCCGGACAAAATTATAAAAGTGCCGGTCAAAGGTCTTCTTTGTTATTTATTGAGCTTTAAAACAAATGAATAACGACGATATAATGATATATAATAATAAAATACACGGAGGCTGTCTCTTTTTCCTCTCTTCTGACAGCGTCAGTGTCTGTCTCATGCAGCAGCTGATCCAGTAATGATGACTCGACAGTAAAAATAAACATATTTACAACTAGTTTAGGTAGTTTGAGAGGTAATTAAAATAGCTAAGGGTGATGATCTGACTTGAAGTGTGTGTTTTGCTCCCGCTGCATCACAGCGGGAGGAGCTGCGTGTCTCCGTCCTGTCAGATTAGACTTCACTCGCGTTTATGTCCATATCGAGATAAAGATAAATAATCTGAATTCAGTGTGCAGTGTACTTTTGCGGGGGTGAGCAGCAGAGGTGGGGAGAGGCGGGGCTATTGCGTCGTCATTATCAGAAACGGATGACCGTATAGGCTACCACACGGCCCCGTTGGACCCCCCAGAGCGCTCCGTTCCCAGATCTATCCACCTTTGGACCCGTTGTCGTTTACAGGGTCTGTTTCTACGTTTCCGTTACGGCGTCGTCGAGCTTAGAGGGCTATACGCATGAGAAATATGCGGATACAACCCGTTTTCGTTCCCGTGGAGCCTAGGCCTAAATGAAGATCAAGCTTTCATTTTGATTTGCAAAGTGGACACACTGTATTTTTATGAACACTATAGTTCATACTGTATCGAGGAGACAATTGATTCATTTTCTGTTATTTCTATTGATGATTTGCGTTATTATAGACCCTACTGTATGACAAACAGTTTTCTAATGAGATGGATGGAAAAACATACATAGTGCCACATTGTCATATTGTGTGACCTGTGCTGTTAAGGACTGAATGGACGTACTGTGGAATGTTAATGTAAGCCAATGCTGTATGTGTTGTTTTTACACAAATACAGTTCGATGTTAACTGCAAACTTTGAAACTTGGCTTGTGTCTTTCTTTTACATCGGTTTTTTTTTTAAATAATGTTGCATTGTGTGTAGGTGAGATTATAAATTGACAACCTACAGTGCTTTTAAAATATGAATCAACTCTAAAGAGTTACATATTGAGTTACATTTTATATCCTTAATAGTGTTAATATGACTCTAACTCTATTTAGTGTTAAAAAAATGTACACTTGTGGTGTTAACTTTTGACTATATATGCAAGCTAGTGTTGCGTAAATGTAACACTGACCGTGTTGTGTCTCGTCAAATGTGTTAGTTATGTTTATGTATTATGTCTGTCATTTTCATGTTTTTTCACTTCTGGTCATGTCTGTTTATTTAGATCCTTCATCTCTAGTCAGTCTCTGTGTTTATTGTCATGTCTCGTTTTCCATTTCCTGTTTTATTTTGTATTGACCTCTTGTCTTTCATTTCGGGCCCTGTTTCTTCCTCCCCTTGTGTGTTTTTTCCCGCCATCATCAGTGTCGGCCCCGCCCCTGATTGTTTCCACCTGTTCCCACTCACCTCATGTTTAAATAGTCCTGTCTCTCCCCTGTCCTGTGTCAGTTCGTCTTGTTTGTTTCCCCGAATGGTCGTGCCAAGCCTCAGCTAAGAAAAGATTGCTTTCACTCATGTCAAGTTTTGTTGTTTTGTTAATTTTTTTGTTTTGTTTTTTTGTTTATTTATTTAAAGGACAGTGCACATTAATCCACATTGCTGTAAATGAGCCAGTATTAGCCAGCAGGCACATTTTCAACTGTTGTCCTTGGCAAGATGTTGAATGACCACAACAAACATTTTGTAGGCTTAAGTTTCTTTCTTAAGTTCTCTTTTTGTTATGCATAGTTTTTCCTCCTGTGAGCGCTTTTTGTTGATTCCAGTACCTACTCTGTTAAAAGGAATTTCCTGATCTTTGAAATGAAAGATACTCTTTTTTAATATTTAAGACTTTGTCTCTGGGTCATGCATTTGGGTCCATCAGTTTGTGTCGAGGTCCTGACAGACCGGTGTTGACCAGAGTTGATAAACTACTTTGACAAGTGGCTAATGCCTACAGTCACATTATAACATAAAAAACTGTTAACTATGATTGGTTTGACAACCCTATCAGCAATGGGCTACCCCACGATTAAATCCACCACATAACATTAGCTACAGTAGCATCATTGGTAAAGTAGCTGTCTGTATACTCATATAATAGTAAGCAAGTTAGTGTTTAATCAGCTAACGTTACGTACGGCTATTTTGTTAGAATAAAATTACATAAAGTGAATATTAATTCAACATAAGGACAACTAATACATTGCCTTCACGGCCAGGATCTGACGCTACTCTACAACATCATCCAAGGATATATTTTCTTAATCCAACTGATTTTATTGTAACTAAAAGACCATTAACCTACAACAGAAGAAGGAATGACTATTTAGTTGATCGATTACAAGTTCAATATTTTGAACTGTGAGAATTTGCTGCTTATGTTAAAGAAAACTGTGGTAAAGAAACTCAGGTATTGGACAGTCGGATAAAAAAAAACGCTGTCTCATATTTGAAGAAAATTATCTGCAGATTAAAAGATCACAAGGAGAATTGCAAGTTTCAGCCCTAATTGTAAATTGGACACCACCAATAAATAGTTATGCATGCTTCTGTGTAGGAAAACAAAAGTTATAAATGTTGTTCCCAACATTGTTTCAGCAAATTCCGACTAATCAGAATAATCCTGAGATGTTGCATGTGAATTGAAATGAAAGCATGCATTTGTTTAGTGCAGTATGTTGGTATGAGGTTTGGTGAAAGCTTTCCCAAGCAGTCGTCAAAGAAGACTGACAGCCCCCCCCGCCAGGCTGGAATAAATCAGCAAACTAACAAGTAGTCACTGTCAGAACAAGAGGAATACATTGTCTTTCTGATCAGATGCACACTTCATAACAACAAGCATGGTGCTGACATTAGCCGCTCATTTATAAAGAGTTAGATAGATGGACAACACGCAGTTCACATTGTGTACATGTTTGAGGTATCATTGAGCAGAATTACTCATGAAAAGACCTCCACCTCTTTGTGAGATATTCCAGAACTTTTTACCAAATATTTCTGCAATTTCGAGTTTAGTACCAAAAAGCTTTTTTATGTCAATGTCTATTATGCATTGATAATCTTATAATGCATCATAATCACCACTGTATAAAACTCATATATATTCAAAATGCTTTACAACAGTAATCATAACAAATATTTGTAAATGATTATAAGTTATTATAAGTATTCATTGAGTAAGTCAATTCCTGAGGTATATTCTGATACATTACAAGCTGGTCAAAAGCCAATATTAGTGCTTATTGTTGGCTTGAGGTAAAGGGTACAAATATTTCCTCATAGACAAAAGTCACCCATTAGTTACTTACAATACATCAAGTATTAACTTCAACCTTATGTTACTGCATTTATTTTTACGGTAACGCGTTATATTAAGGTACACAAATTAACCATCAACTAGTTGTTAATTAACATGCATATTAGCAGTATATTGGCTCTTTATTAGTCACTATAAAACACTTATTAATACCTTATTCTACATGACCATATTCTATAAGTAATAAGCCATTAATTGAGAGTTTTTCCTCAATAACCCTCTAATTAGTGCTGATTTATTGTAAGTAATGAAGT